TGCCCCAGCGGTGGGGATGCACCACGGTGCTCCTGCCCCACCAGCGGGCAGGGCACAGGGAAGGGAAGCGGCCGTCCTTACCGCGTGCGGTCGAGCGATCTGCACCGGGTAGGACATGGCGTGCGGGGCATAGCGCGGCTCGGCCGCTCGCCAGCTCTGCGTCACGGGCTGCGTCGATCCGGACATGGCGAAAAGGGCGCTCGCTGCTTCCGAATCACCGGCGAGGGGTTAGGAGAGCCGAGACCTCCTCTTCATCATGCGGGCGCTTTCCACGCGGTGCGACACCTGAAGGCAAACGGGGAAGGAGCAGGTTAAAACGCGGTCAACCGCAGCCCCGCAAGACAACCGCCAGCAAAGCCTTGGGTGACCACCAGAACCTGACCACCCCCGCAGGTTTCCAGCAGCCCCAGTTCCTCCCTGGCAAACACCACCGCCGTGTTTTTGTTTTGGAGGTTTCCTATAGCAGGGAAGGAGCTCAAATATGAGAGCAGCCCAAACCCATCCCACCCCACTGCCCTGGAAAACCTCTCCCCAGCACGAGCAGGACCAGGCCTGCAAAGTGCCAGTGATTTATGTGGGCCCTGTGGCTCTACGTCTCCAAGTCTCTTGGAGATGGGTATTTTTTTTAGGAGGTGACTTGGATCCCCAAAACACAAGGTAGGGTTTTAGCACTTCAATACAAGGTCCAAAGGTGCTAAGCCCATCTCCTTCCTCACCCATGCACTCACACATCCACACACTTTTCTTTCAGTGCCCTCCTTTCCCAGCCATGGCCATTTCTACAGACACCCAGAATAACACCAGGAGGGGCACCAGGTACCTCTCCAGCCATGGGGCTACACCAAAACGCAGCAGTAAAGCTCGTCACACGTGCCACACCAATACTGGATCAGCCTTTCTGATCAGGACCAAGAGCCAGAGGAGACACCACGGCCCCGAGGGCATTGCCATCACCAGCCCCATCACCCCCACATTCGATGCTTTTCCAAACGTTGCGATTCCTTCCGCAGCTGTAACAAAACCAGGAAAACCAACAACGTGAGAGGACTCCCCTGGGCCCCAAGAGGAGATTTAGGGGTTGCTGATTTTTTTTATAGCTATTTCATGCAGTTTGTTTGGAGAAGAGTCTGAAGGCCGCCTGCTTTTGGTCTGGATTTCCACCAAAAAAAAGTAACAACGCATCTAAATGCTGCCCTTCAGTTTAAGGTGCATTACCCGTTATTCCCAGATTAATGGTTTGCTCTACAAAAATGTGAGTTCCCATTGCATCCCAGGCTCGGGGGATGCTGCCAGGACCCGTTCTCCGTCCCACATAAGGCTGAGCACACCCGCACACCTCAGCCACAGGGAGGGACACGTCACACACGGACCTGTGCGAGGTTTTTGGCAGTGCCAGCATCGCGGTCTCCACCGCACGGGGAGCACAGCCAGCCCCAGCCGACGCAATTTCAACCGAAACGGCAGTTGGTGTGCACAGAACCCAGAAAAGGAGGTGGGAAAGGGAAAAGAAGATATATAAAAAAGAGGAAGTTTTTCTTTTTCTCTTCTTTTTTCCCCTCCTGCGAGACCACAGAGCAGCCCGTGCTGATAAACCGCTCGCTATCTGCTGCAGGCAGGCACAGGACCCCTCCTCGCTGCTTCGCCCGCATCCCGAAATGAAATCAAACCAAGGCAACGGCCTGGGGCACAGCAGGAGGAGGAAAGGCCTGAGGGGGCCTCTCACAGAGACCAACTCCCACGAAACCAGCGCTTTCCAGCGGATCCCAGTAAGGTCTGAGGGTGACAGGGTTGGCTCTGGGGGCAGGGAAGGAGGCACAACCAGGTCCTGTCCCGCACAGGAGCTGGGGTTCCTGCACCCACACAGCGCCCTCCAACCCCTCCATCCTGGAGGGCACCCAGAAAGCGGCCGTGTTTGTGCTTCCAGTACCTGAGACCCACTTTCCCTCATGATTTTAACTCTGATTTCCACCCAGAGCACAAGGTTCAACATCACCACCTCACCCTCCCAGTCCTGCACCCATCCGGGCTCTCACAGGGGCAAACCCTCCCCGCAGCCGCCGTGGACGCGTGCCCGGCGCTCTCAAAGGCTCTCAAATCCACCAAAGTTTAAGGTACTTTCCTAGTAACGGATGCAAACTGGGACATCTTGGCTTGCAGCCACCCAAGGCTTCATTAGCACACGTATGTACATGAATACACACGCACCGCAAGCTGGGATGGGGTTGAGACGGAGCTCCTGGCAGCTCTCAGCAAGCCAAGCGCACCCCTGGAAGCTCAGCAGGTGAACCAGACCCTGCCATGGCAGCTGTGGACAGTGAAATAAATCAGATTATTTGTAAAACACACCAGATTATTTTCCTTTCTTAAACTCTTCAGCTTTAAAACCCAGCACCATGTGCCTGGACACCTCTCCCCAGCGACAGATACTGGGGTGCCCCCTCATCCCTTTATTTTTAAGGGATGAACACAAGCAACAGCAGCAGATTAATGGAAATAAAACAGAAATAGCACAGCCAGGCTCTTTCTTTAAGACTGAGCAGCTCGGTTCCCATTTTTCCTCAGCTGATTTTGATGAGGAACAGACATTGTCTCACAGGAAAAGTATTTCCCCCCAGGTCGGAGTCTCCATCAGCGCCTGCTTTATCCACAGACCTGCGTTAGCCATTACAGCTCTAGGTATGAGATTTACTGGTTAGGAGCAGGAGAAAACCAGAGCTCACTGCCAACCCCAGCACTGGGACCACAACACAGACCTGTGGCAGAGATCAGAGCCCGCAGAGGCTCTGCACAGGTTTATTCCCACCAAATCTGGGACACTCCCAGCATCCTGTCCCAGCGCTGAAGCCTTCAAAACCTCCACCCCCTGCAAACCACCACCCCCTTGCTCCTGCTTCTCCTCCTCATGTGCCATTTACAGCCTGCCAGCACTTCCCCATCACCTGCTCTCCCTAATTCACACCATGAAATCACTCCATGAGTCACTGCAGCCCCATGTCCAGCCCAAAAGATGGACACGGGCAGGCTCACGACACCCCACGGTCATCTGCGGGTTCAGTCAACACCAGGGCTGTACCCCTCTGTGCTGGTCCTGACCACAGCGACAGCGGGCACCGATACAGCCAGGACCATGCCAAAACCCCACAGGTCTAAAAACCAGGCTTTGCCATTAAATCCAGTTGAAGAAAGTTTAGTTAACACCATTCAATGCACTTGTCGCTCTGCAAAGGTAAAGTCAACAACTCCCATGTGCTCCTCAGGGGCCACAGGGTTCCCAGGTGAGGTCCCTGGCTCACCCCAACACCACCCAAATGTGGGTGAGTTGCCATGATTACCCCATGCCTGGTTCATCTGAGGGGTGAGAACAACAGGACACTCCCAGACACAGAAGATACCTGTTCACCCATCCAATCCCAAGGGAAACACACTGCTCACCTGCACAAGAACCTTTATCTTTCATAAGCAAGGACCTGCCGAAATAAAAATTAACAGAATGTTTTGTTTCTAAAGCCAGAGTAACGTTACCCAGCTTGTGGTGTGCAGACCACGGATGGTGCACAGAAGACATCAGGAGCAGCCCACAAAACGACTGCAAAACCCCTTATGAAAAGGCACCACGAGTACCACCACAGTGTGCAGGCAAGGAAAGGGAGTGAAGCGCTGCTAGCACTTACCAGGGCACGTTTAATTCAGGAGCAATGACAGCAAAGCCAATGTTTAATTACACAAGTTCCTGGAAAAAACAACCATGTCATCGTCATTCAGATGCTAAATACATAACTGTTTTCCTCAAGAATCACAGAATCACAGAATATCACGAGTCGGAAGGGACCTGGAAAGCTCCCCCAG